TTTTTTTTTTTTGGCTGGAGGCAAACTACGTCTGCCAGCCAAAAAAAAAAAAAGGTCTCAAACCCATAAACTTTGGGACGAATGAAGATAGCTCTTTTAATTACGCTGCCATATTTAGTGAGCTCATCTTTTCACTGACCTAGACCAGTTCCGACTAAAGAATCGGAAAGGGGAAATTGAACAAAAATAGAATCTGTATCGGAATAAAAGACTGGATTGTTAGGATCTCGTTTGAAAGGGTTGATGGTCCATCTAGCTAAAGATGTGATGGCGGAAGCGATCGCTACATTAGCGCTAGCTGGTCTTAAAGGAATAGTGGATCCTTTTTCTCTATCATAGCTAGGGTCGTAAGTTACAATAGAATATTTGGAGTTTAATTCCGTAGTAAAACTAACACTATATCTTGAAATAATATTGGCTAAATCCGTATCATTCACGATTATAGTTGTAGGGTTAAATAATCTTCGCCCGAAATATCCATATAATCCGTTAAGAAGTAGTTTATAAATAAATCTCAGTTCAGGCTGTTCTGTTGCTGCGACTTTTTTATTATACATATGTGTGACATACTCTGTGAAAAGATCTGCAGTGCTGAATAAGTAGCCATATTGGATAGTTACATCATACCCGTGTTGTGAAGCATCAAATAGCTCTGGAGCATAAAACAAGCCTTCGAAGGGGGTTTGTGGGTATGATAGTCGATCACCCAATTGAAGGTGGTGTGGAATGGTAGGGATACCCCCTTCGCGAAGGGATACTTTAGCTCTTACGAAACCTGTAAAACAGCTTAAGTGGATATCTAGCCCCGGCACTCTATCCAAATAGTTTAAAGGCATCGGTAGTGTCATAGCGTAAGGATATAAAGAGTTAACGTCATAATAATAAAGGTTCCTCCCTTCATGATTAAATACTTGAACAGACCCCCCTTTGTAGCTAGTGCGGATTTCTTTCTCTAGCCACGTCGGTAGAAGGGGAATAGATGTGTTTAAATAGTTTGTACGAAAAATCTTCATAGCTAAGGAGGAGGCACTGAAAACATTAGTTAAATCCACACTGTACTCATTGAAAATTTGTTTAGATGCTACACTCATTACATCAAATAAAGAAATAAGATCCTTCTCTAAATACTCTTCAAGTTCTTGTCTAACTAGTAAAAGAGTATCTAAATTGACTTTATTGTGATCAAAAGACCCTTTAGGAGTAGGTACTTTAAATCCCCCGGGGGTTTGTCTCCCCATCGGCTCCTGGGTAAGCTTACCCAGGAGCGGAGGGGGGAAAAACGACCGGAGGGCGACCAAGTCCGCCGGTCCCCCCGGGGGCCATAATAGACAATTCATTTAAACTTGCGGCAAAAATCCGGTAAGAGTCTTTAAATGTTAACTTATTATCTAAAGTAATGCTGATTACTTTATTCGAAGCATCTAACAGCAGATTATAAGGCCCGAAAAGTTGAGCTAAAGGTTTCAAAAGAAAAGTACAGGTGTTGTTTTTAAAAATGGTAGAGAATTATTTCAAATTACCATTATATGTAAAATTACCACGAATTAATTGAGAATTATAACTATAGTAATGATTATTATACAAAATATATCTACCTGATTTTGAAATATTATTAAACATTGATGATGATGATGTAGGTAAAAAATATGAAGAGAATAGATTATTGATCATTCGGCCCCCGGGGGGACCGGCGGACTTGGTCGCCCTCCGGTCGTTTTTCCCCCCTCCGCTCCTGGGTAAGCTTACCCAGGAGCCGATGGGGAGACAAACCCCCGGGGGATTTTTATTTACATCACCCCCGGGATTGTTCCCCCCTCGGCTCCTGGGTAAGCTTACCCAGGAGCGGAGGGGAAGAACAATCAGCGACGAGCGCCGTGGCCCGGGGGACGTAAGACTATTCTTATCATTTAAATAATTATTAACGAGATCGATACTTTGTTCTACTCTATCAGAGCTCAAGGACAATGGCTCGACTACTACTGGCTTACTATTAATAGTTAACACTCTATGTTTTAACACTAATGTTCGAATCATTGTTAAATTATACTGATCTAAAATACGGGCGAAATCTGTTGAAAGCACTAAAGCTAAATGTTCTGGATCCGTAAATTTCGTGATAAGTTTAGAATAGCTCATCGATAGAACACCTGTGGAAGCATCATGAGGTGTTGATAAAACTAGGGGAATATATGTAAGACATTCACCATCATTAATATTGTTAATGATAGTAGTAAGAGCTGGTACAAAATCGGGTTCATTAGGAAATGGAATTGGTGTAATTTTCCAATCACCTCTACCCCATTGAATATTCGGATGTCTAAAATCATCGAGAAGTAGAACGCTTGAAGGATCAAGTCCCATAACATTACAAACTTCTGTAATAGAAACAACTTCATTTGATGAGTTTCTTGAAGCATTATAAGCTCGGATTAATTCGAATGAGTATGATGGCCCCCGGGGGTTTTTCTCCCCATCGGCTCCTGGGTAAGCTTACCCTGGAGCGGAGGGGGGAAAAACGACCGGCGGACTTGGTCGCCCTCCGGTCCCCCCGGGGGATTTAATGTAAATTGAATAATATTTAATGGAGAAAGAGAACGTACCTGGTTACAGATAGCTTGGTTAGAAACATTGTATTTACGGATACTCGACCGTTTCTTTTTATTGTATAGAGTTAGCATGATTTATAATTTAATTTGTGCAAGAGATGTGAAAGTTTAGCACTCAACTTAATCTAATAAGGTAGATTATTCCCCGAAGATTTCTAAATACGTCTGGATTACCAGAGAATGTAATGTTTTCAATGTGTATGTCGAGCTATGTTTAACGGTGGCATGAAAAGCCTGGATTTGAGTCAGTGTAGATTATGGTTAAACCCCTCCCCCAAAACGGCAGAGAACAACTCTACCATAAAGGTACGGGTATCGCGATCAAAAATACTAATACTACAGAGTCACATACCTCCCCATATCTGTACGTTGAGAATGGTCGTATCTTCAGTTGGGATTTCGCATGAAAAGCTTTTATCCAACTACCTTTGTAGGTAGGTCCTACCTTGAGCCGGTACTCTAGTATATCTAAAAATATAAGAAGAATATTGAGGTCCAGAGTCTTGTTATCAATCCTGGAATTAGTATTATTTTCCAACATCGCACCACCATTAGTATCATAACCAAACTCACCACAGTCCATCACTTTTCATCATCATAGTTATAAGTTCACTTCGCTCCCGGTATAAGCACATGGGCTAAACATAATCCTGTCAACTCCAATATATCTTAGAGTGTGAATAACTGGGGAGGACTTAGCTTTACTAAAGAGTGATTCTCTAAATGGGAGATGTATCTTAGTTAAGAGTGATAGGGAATTTTGTTAAGTCTTTGACCCTTAGTTTTTTTTTTTTGTTGGCGGGAACACCACAGGTCTCTGGTTCGGATAACCAGGAGAGCTTACGATGTCTTCAGTCAGATAGCTGTGTAGTCCGGAGATCATGAGGTATGGTTAAATCATTAGCTTTTCTCGATAACGGGTTCAGTATTGAAAACATACGTATCAATAGGGTAGAAGCTAGAGTATCTAAACAAATACATTACACAGCCTAGTATTAACTCACCTATAGACTTTATACTGGAGAAATCTCCAGTCGATCCTGGGTTGTAATAATACAATTCAGTATAAGCTAGAACGTTCATAGAATTTAACTAGGTATGCATGCTCCATATTCATATGACTTATTGGTTTGTTCAGTTTTATCGGCGACTTTATCTCCACTGTTTTATGATTCAGCTTTAGCCGTTGTTGCTCAGTACGATTAACGACTCCTAGGCTTATCTACGCGACACTAGTCCTAGTCCTGGGTTCTCAAATATGACACTTGCACGCTCTCTATCGACACTTTATAAAAAAGATAAAGTGGGCGGTGTATGAAATTTAAATAACGTTGTGATTAATAAGGGTAGCTAGACCCTGTTTGTAATCTATATAATCTGTAGAGTGTTATATAGCCCATAATCACATTCAACCCTGTATATACCCAGGGATCGATCAGTAGCACTCGGTAGAGTAGATCACGAGTATTGTGTATGACTCAATAAAGTAACTCGAGATACTACTACTGATCAGGTATTCTCATAGACTTGTCTCCATGGGTGAGATACTCGGTTTACAGGCTGACCTCCCCGAAGACTCAAATTCATCATAAGAACTTTTCGTTCGAACCGGATTTTTATTATGTTATGTGTTCAGCATAACTGTTAACTCCTATTGACACCATTTTTTAACATATTTAAATTTCCTGGATTATATACAGTATATTAATAATTATATGATTGGCTGTACCTAGAACTTCATAAGCCGGATTCTGTAACACCGTTAATTAATCTTGCTAATGCTTAGGCTTTACATAGGATGAAAATCTCAACCAATATACATCCGAATCCGCATAATTGCTGGGGATATAAATGGTATAATCTCTTATCATTACCCCAATTCTTACTGGATGTGTTTCACATTATGTTTAGATAAAGCCCCGGACTTTCCTTCGAGTATTCGACAAACGGTTGTAGTTCCTAGGAATTTTCATAAATTACATTATACACTAAGGTTACACATCAATTAACACTGTTAATTGAAATTACCAATATACAAAGGAATGTCTGTATAGTTGTTCAATTTTACATTACATATCGTTGCTGGATTCGAAAACTCCGGGATTTGAACCCAGATTACCCTCACGACAATGGAAGGCGTCCTACCGTTAGACTTAATTTTCTACTGATCCCTGGCTAACTTAAGGATAAGAAGAAGAAGTTGTACTTTTCTACAGGTCACTCGCTAGCTTAAGGTAAAGAAGAAATTGTACTTCTTTATGTCCTTACTTATACATTCATAAAACCCAAAATCTAATCTAACTTAATACTTGTAACTAACTTACTTGCTACTTACAACTTACAACTTATACTTTTATTATTGTTGGAGATTGAAGGAGTTGAGCCTTCATGATCCTGTTAGAGAGAATAATTACCCTCAAGAGATTTGTTAACCTCAAGGGGTAGTTACCTGTATGGCGGTCCTACACGTCCTCTGTCAGCCCCTTTAAAACGATAACCATTAAATTTACTTACCATACTTAGTATACCTTCGTACATTAGGGTTAAACCTCTAACAGAATGTTTTACTGTTAAACTTAATCTCCGTTAAACAAAGACTAGACTTAAATTGAAACTACATTTGTTAATCTTCATTACTTATATAATTTTGACTCCATTTTTCCAAAAGTTACCGTTAAATGCGGGGTATTTTGGCTGGAAATAATGCATTATACGCTGAACTGGGGTCATAACTGCTTCCGTTGAAACACGGTCAAAAATCGTGATTTTGAGGCATGAATATCTGATTCGGTAAAATGGACTGGAATATGCCGGGAAATGGGCAATATACATAAATATGGAACAGCTCTCATTTTACACTCTATATAAGAGGTTTCATCCTCTTTTAACCAACTATTTATAGGCCTAAATGTCTTAGAGCTTATTATCCTTATTTCCTATTTTATTGGTTCTTCAAAGGGATATAACATTCACCTGATCACATTGCTAGTATAACTGGTGCTGGGAGTCCTCAGGCTAGAGCAATTTATGTTTATGATTTGGGTTATCTTTTAATTAATAAGTTTGATACTGTTGCTCAAGCTGCAAAATGGCTTGGAGTAACAGCGCCGTTCGTTTCTAGAATGGCTAAGATTAATGGGGTACAGCGGGGGTAACTCGATCCCGCCCACGGCAGGTCAGACTTGCTTACTAAGGCTACCTATCGAGCATTTGCCCAATAAGCTATGTTTCCCACATATAATTCCGTCGCGCTGACTCACCCGTCCCTTCCACCTTGTCACTAAATATAGTAGTGGAACTTGTCTCGTTACTTATATGTTGTAATCTCAAGAGTAGAACCTTTTCTACAATCTTAAATCTCAAGACCAGAGTCATTCAATATCTAACCACCATGAGCAGAGGTCAACCCCCGCACCTGGAATATGCTGCACCCCTTTCCAGGTTTTATCGTAATCCTATCACGCTTGATCAATAAGTCTGCTTGTTTAGAATTATCCTTTACTTATATATTTTATTCTCTCCACATAAATCAATATCACTAATAATAAATAAAGTAGTTCTTTGTATACTATGATGGGAGGTTCCCTATTTAAGAAGCAGCACCATAGCTATAAATAAAATAAGGTGTAAATAAAGCCAGCCGCCTACAAAGTAGGCAGAACTGGGCATTGCGTCGCTTCGCTCCTAGCTTTATACGAAACCCTAAGCTAGACCTATCCAGGGCTTTGCCCGGGCAAGTCTCGCCCTAATGGTGGGCCTATAATAAGTCCAATAGAATCCTCTAAAATGATGAATATAAGTAATAATATATAAAGTAGTTCTTTGTAAGCCACTATGATGGAAGGTTCCCTATTTAAGAAGTAACATCATAGCTATTACTATGTTATCGGCTTTATTAATTATTCCAATCATTGGAGTTATCGGGATTTTACTTGTTGGTGATAATTCTTCCATGTTCATCCTTATTTTTAGTAGTGATGATCAAATCCAATTAAAAGTCAAGTTCTTAACCATTTAAGCTAAGTCTCTCTACTTATATATTTCAAATAGTACTACTATGGGTTGTTACATCCGCCCCGGGGGCAAGCGCCTAGCGCCGCAGCGCGGCGCTGAGCGCAATAATTCTTAAGCAATAAAAGCGCCTAGCGCCTTGTTTTATTAATAAAACAGGGTATATACAATAATTGCTTAAGCAATAAAAGCGCCTAGCGCCGTCCCACCGGGGCGCCCGGAGGGCTAATGATTACCCAAAAAGCATATAATCCTGCTATTAAGGATTCGAGGAACTTTCGAAAATATATTTGACCTACGATTATAAACATATAAAATAATAAATTCAGATGTTTCACTGTTAAAGGCTGAGTATTTCTCGCGGCCCTGGGCTCCTGGTGTAAGCTTACCCAGGAGCCCAGGGGGGGTGCCCCCATTATTGTAATACAATGACCACCGGAATGAAATTTATATTGGCCTATTTACTATATATCATTAAGTATTCTATTTTCCTCCCTTTTATTTTTCTAAATTTTCAATGTACGAGTCATAGAACCTTGCCTAATACTCATAGCTGAACGATCTTTAATCAACCGGTTAAATGTAACTTTAACTGATTTACCTTCGAGAACTGATAATAATGAATCAAACGATACTGAAGCTACTGGAAAACCACCAATAACGACCTTTTCTCTACCTAAAGTATCTCCATAAAAATTATGCTCTAAATATGTCTTAATGGCCCAAGCCTTTTTTCTAATAAAAATACCGTGGGTAATTCGATCTCCCGACAATTCATCTTTCCATTGACCTAGCCCTGGTCCAATAACTGTAGGATCTAATGGCTTCGGTAAAAATAGTGAATCGGTATCGGAATATAAAAACAAATTGTTTGGGTCAGCTTTATACGGTGCCATAATAGCTCTGGCAATAGCGGTAATAGCTGCGCCGATTGCGATATTCGAAAGAGCCTTCGCTGCGTCAGGTAGTAGATTATCCTCTGTATCAAGATAGGGACTATAATTAATAGCGATTTATCTTCTGTTAATTCTGTAATAGAGGATGCTGGATGTTCGCTAATTAGATTAATCATTTCATCATGATTAACAATTAAAGATTTATTATAATATTGAGATCGACAACCCCGGGGGTTTGTCTCCCCATCGGCTCCTGGGTAAGCTTACCCAGGAGCGGAGGGGGGAAAAACGACCGGAGGGCGACCAAGTCCGCCGGTCCCCCCGGGGCCGAAACCATATAACCCGTTAAGTAATAATTTAACGATGTATCTTTCACCACCAACGGCTTGAGATTTAAGATTGTAGAAATGTTCTACGTACTTAGAGAATAAATCAGCGGAAGCAAATAAATAGCCTTTTCCACACTGAACTCCATACCCCAGTGAGGCTAACACTCGCAAGGATTCAGAATAATATAATCCTTTGAATGTACCAGTTGGAAAGGTTAAAGAACCATCAACCTTTAACGGGATAATGGGTCTCATGTCTGGTGGAATCGTAATAGTTGCCTCAACATACCCGCAAAACGCATCTAAATTTACCATGAATCTAGGAATGGTATCTAAATATTCAATTGGCATACCCGTACTCATTCCTTTGGATCTTAAAGCCATTGCTGCAGGGTATAATGAATTGATATCATATCAATATAAATCACGACCTTCTGTCGCGAACTTTTGAACGGCTCCTCCCACATATGCTCGCGATCTAATCTCTTGTTCTAACCAACTAGGGAGTTGGGGAATTGTAACATCTCCCGGCCGGGCTAGCCTAGCGCCTTCCGGCCGGGAGCCCCCCGGGCCCAAGAAATTTGTTCTATAGATTTTCATTGCTAAAGAAGAAGCACTGAAAACTGTCGATAGATCTACATGGTAAGCTGAAAATAAATGAAGCGATGCCGCTAACATTACATCTAACAGGGAGATAAGATCCTTATTTAAATAGATTAACACTACATCTTGAATATCAACAAGGTTATTAAAGGTTACCGAAGCATGATCAAGAGAACCCTTAGGAACCGGAACATTAAACATTACAGAAAGATCAAATAAACTTCCTGGTAAAATCCGTTTTGAATCTTTAATTGTAACATTCCCCGGTAGTTCAATGTTAAATACATCTCTTGCATTATCGGAAATCAATTTATACTCATCAAAAATTGCGATAAGCGGTTTCAATAGAAACATAGAATCAAAACCGGCTAAGTTATGAACATAGATAGTTACCCCTTTGCATGAATAGCTAGATCCTTCAAACATTGAAGTATCATATCATTGGAAGCCGCTTCATATTCTAATGTCTTATCGAGGAAATCGGTTAAATAATAAGTGAAGACCTTATGTGGAGATTTATCTTCGTTTTTTTTTTTTGCTGGCAGACGTAGTTTGCCTCCAGCAAAAAAAAAACCGCTAATCCAAACCCAATTGCGTAGGGGTTGCCCTAACACATTGTTACTCATTGTAATTGTTTCGATATCTAGTGTACCAATCTTACTTTTCAAGCTACCTGCCGGTCTTAGGGGGGTAACCCCTTGAGAGGGTTTAATGTTATAAAGTCCAATATTGAAGCTATTTAACGAATCTAAAACATAGCCTCGCCCTTCCACTCCTTTAATACCAGGAAGCCATCTATTCATTCAACAATCGAAAGTAGTCCTTTCAGTACAATATAGATTGTGGTTTAGAGCAGCCCAGCGGGCACCATTGTGTACATTAATAAATGCGGTGTATCGATCAAAGTTATTGTTCAAACCTTGCTCCCGCATTGCAATAAATTCTGGCAGGTTTCGAATATAATAGTAAGCAAACTGAACGACCGCAACCGTATCCACATGTACTGTTAAACTATTAGAGATGATATTCAAACCCTTAGCACGAATATGTACTTTTGAAGTTAAAAAGGCATCCATAATTACTGTCCACTGTTCCAATTGCTCCTCTGTAGGGGCTACAGTTACAATTGGGAGAATAAAATTATAAGCATGAGAATTAATATCGTTAGATAATCAAATAAATAAACCATCCTTAAACACCCAGTGCCCTAAAGAAGAAGAGAAATTACTGCCTTCACCAGTTTTTCTACTAGAAGGGATGGAAAGTACAGTAGGCAGATGATGGGTAGAGCTACGTAGATAGTTACGACCTGCACCCCGAATA